GCCCCCTCCCACCAGCCTGTTTTATAGGCAGAAAAGCTGAGGGCACAGAGAGGTTCAGAGACTCACCCAAGGTCACACAGCTGGCACTTTACCCAGGCAGCAGAGTCACTGGCACCTGTTATTTGTGGAGTTGTGGGGTGCCACCTACAGTGCCCGCGTGGGTGCTCTGCTCTAGCCACAGCCAGCTGGGATCTCCTGGCAGGGCCTCCAGCCGCAGGCAGCCCGCATGCACCACGTAAGGGCTCAGGCATGCAGCAGCTGCTCCGGCTGAGCGGGGTCGTCAGGGCAGGGAGTCCTGCTTCCTGTCTCCAGCAGCCAGCCTGCTGGCCTCATGGCCTCCGGGGGATACAAAATGCAGGGCCCTGACACCGGGGAGAGAGGATGCTGTAGCATAGGATGGGAGGAGGGTGACTGCTTTGCAGGACTCCTTTTGGCACAGGGCTCAAGGGTCAGCTTGATGAGGTGGCATTGGAGCTGGAGTCTGGACAATGAGCAGGAGGTGGCCACAGGAAGGGAAGAGGGAGGAACCTTCCAGGGAAGGGGTCAGCAGGTGCCAAGGCCCTGAGGTCACCACCTTTCAGGGATGCTGCCGAGGCCAGGAGCAGGGCCAGGGGACCAGGATGGGCTGCCTGGGTCAGAGGATGTTCTGTAGCCCTAGGGCAGAAATCCAGTTTAATGGTTCTCCCCTGGCTTTGTTCTAGGTTTGGGGATTTGGTTATCGGGCATGGCTCTGAAAACTTGGCCCTTGCCTCCAGAGCCAGTCCAGTAACAAGGGCTCCGTTCAGATGGGACAAGTGCAGGCATGGCCCGATCCAGGAGAACAAACAGGCCTCAGGGAGCTGCCTTCTGTGTGGCTTTTCCCAGGCAGATTCCTGCCCCAGCCCAGCCCAGCCTCCAGGGGAGGGCAGGCGTCTGAGCCCAGGGTGACAGACACTCCCTTCTCTTCTCCTATAGAGAAGAGGGAGGCCTCCAGCACAGCAGGGCAGGTGGCCCAGGGAAGGTGAGAGGGTGTCACACACTCAGGGAGCACGGAGGGTGACAGGGAGGGGTGGCCACCAGCCACCATCACGTTCCCAGAAAAGCTGGAAATCTGGGGCTTGTAAGCAAGGCCCTGATTTCTTAAAGAAAAAAACTGTGTGGGACAGAAAGCTGCCATGGCCCAGCCGCCTGTCACGTGGCTCTGCGGCTCACTGCCACTCTTATCTCCAGAGCACCACGTCCCCCACGACCTGGCATAGTGCCCCGTGGAGCGTCCTGGAAGTCAGCCGGCACCTCTGGAAAGCCTTCCCGAGGGCGAGAGCCGGGGCTGCTGCAGCTCCTCCAGGAGCTGGGGACGAGCCCTGGTCGGGTGGTCTAGTGGTCAGCACTCCCTGGGGGCAACTGGGGTCAGCCTGGACGAGGATGGCCGCTAAATCCAAGGACAGATGTCTTTCCAGGGAAGGTGTAGAGCAGGTGGTCCCGTGGGCAGAGGTGTAGGCCGGGTCCCTGCGGGGGGGACGAAGAGCCTTGGCCGTCCAGTAGCTGGTGCCTGGTGCCATGGGAGGATGTGACTCTGGCAAGTGCAATGTGCCCTCGCTGGTTGGGCCCCGTGGAGCATTCTCAACACCTCTTCCCGCCCTTGCCACTACCAGGACGAGGCCTCCCGGGCCCCGAGCAGGTGGCCCTGCCCTGCTCCCGCCGATGCTCTATGCAGCGCTGCCCCGAAGCCACTGCAGTTGGGGCCAGTCTGGAGAAATCGTTGGCTCCACAGCTGCCCTCCACAGCTGCCCGCCACAGCTGCCCGCCACAGCTTCCCGGGAGGGGGCTGGCCCTGCACCATAGCAGGCCACAGCCTGCCCCCACACCGTCCTGCCAGGGCGTGGCCTCCTGACTGAGAAGCATGTCTGTGGCCTGCTTCCCCCTCCCCATCAGGGAAGCCCATCCCCAGTGCCTGGGCTCCCGGGGCCTCCTGGGGAAGGGGACTTGGGTTTCTGTGGTCTGTCTTTAGCTGGCTCAGAGAGGAGAGGGCCAGCTGCTGGCCTCGGGCTATGGGCAGCTCCAGAGCTGCTCAGGGCCTGCCCTGGCTCCAGCCTGCAGTGGATGGGACAGTGGCCAGAGGGGCCAGGGCGGCCAGGGCGGCCAGGGCAGCAATGCCTCACTGAGTGTGGGTGGTGGTGTGGTCAGCACGTGGTCCCCGCTGGAACCTGGGAATATGACCTCTTGGATCAGTGGCCTTGGCAGAGGTGATGAAGGCCAGGTCCTTGAGACCAGCCTGGACTAGGGAGGCCCAAGTCCAACAACCTTCTGAGGAGGCAGGCGGAGGCCTCGTGAAGGCAGAGCTGGCTGGAATGGAGTGGCCACATGCCAGGGACACTGGGAGCCACCAGGTGAAGGGAGGTGGGTCCTGTGTGTCCCGGGAAGCAAGGAGGCCTGCTGACATCTGATGTCAGGTCTGGCCCTCAAAGTTGTGGGCGGGCCGCTGGCCCTTGTTCTCAGCTGCCCAGGCTATGGTACCCTGTCCCTGCAGCCCCTGGAAACCAGGGTAGTGTGGATTTTGTTTTAATCACACTTAACTTTTAAAACTCTGTTGTCCGCGCAGTCCCAGTGCCACGAGCGCACAGTAGGGCCGCGAGCACACAGTAGGGCCGCACACCTTGGCCAAGCACCCAACAGCCCCAGGTCTGACTGGAAGCGGCTCCCAGGCGGGCAGTGCTGGTCTGGAATGGTCCACTCTGCAGCGACTCTTTCTCTATCACATGGAGTTGACCATCCTGAATAGGCCACCGGCCACCGGCCACCGTGTGGCTTCACCCTGCTTCCTCCTTCCAGAATGTTCCAGGCACCCGGAAGGATAGCTATACCCAGGGATCACACCCGCCGTACCCAGCCCTGGCGACCTGGCCTGCTCTCCACCTCTGGATTCATCCCATGGGGGAGGGCTGGGCACCACCTCGTGTCATCCTAGCTGATGTCCGTCCGTCCGTCCGTCCTTGTGGCTGAATCGTGTCCCTCTGAGGCCGTGTGGCCTGCGCCTCTCCACGGAGGCCTCTCGGATGAGGAGGCCGAGGACTGAGCTCAGTGCCTCCCTCCTCCTCGCTGCCCCGCCCCCCACCTCCCTCACCCCGTCCCTTCCGACCTGACCCCTGCCCCTCCCGCCAGGAAGCTGCAGCCTGGGTGGGGGGTGCAGAGCAGGGTCTCTTTCCGGGTGCAGAGTGCGCCACCGTGGCCTGGCCGTGTCTGGGTCTGGTCCACCTGAAGGGTGCATTCCCTTGACCCTGGGAGAGGCAGAGGCAGGCGCCTGCATGGAACCAACCCCGGGAGGCTGGGGACCCTGCCTGGGCCACCTGGCCTGTCCTCTCTGGAGCCGTTGCCCAGTGCTTGCGTGGCTCTGGTCCCTGGCGGGTGGCATCACTGACCTTGCCCACCCCAAAGTGCTCCACGCAGGTAGGTCCCTGGAGGGCCGCGTTGGCACACCTTGGCCATGTCTAGTCACTGCAGGGGCTTGGGGACGAGGTGTCTGTGAGTGCTGACCAGGGCCCAGTGTGCCCTGAACCCCAGCTCGCTCAGGTTTGATGATGGGCTGTTCAGAAACAGCTACCTGTGGCTCTCGTCAGGAAGCCACTCAACAAGCATCTGCATCTCACAGGGCAGACGCAGAACGAGGCTGTGAGTGACAAGGGACACACCAGTGGTGGGCACTGTGAGGTGGCCGTTGTCCTCCAGGTCCCAGGGCATCTTTGGGAAGGCTTGCAGGGGGTCTCTGTCCAGAACAAGCTGACCAACAGGAACGCGCAGCCCGTGCTCTCCAGCCTGGTGGTGTGAGCCCAGCCGCTGGACCCTCCTCTGCTCTGGGTCCCTGTTCCCCATAGCTGGGTGAGTCCCCGGCTGCAGACACTCGCCTGGAGCTCCGGGCTGAGAATGGCCTCGCTGCCCACCTAGAAGAGAAGCCCTCAGAGGGACAGGCCTGCGTCTGCCCTGGGCACGGGTCTCGGGAGCCTGGAGATCTCCCTGGGGTGGTCTCTAAGGGCCGAGGGGGCCTGGTGACGAAGTCTGGGCTTGGTCACCTGCAGGTCTGTGAAAGCCTGGGGCCTCCTTGCCGGCTCTGCCGCGGGCAAGGAGGGCACAAACGGGCCTGCCTAGAGGCAGTCCCAGGCCTGGGCAGGCCGCTTGTCCTTTGGGTGCCTCCTGTCCTGGATATCTGGTCCTTGTGGTGGGTGGGCGGGCATGGCCTTCCAGCCCGTGAGGCGCTTGATGTGGCCCCGGGGACCTGTGCGAGCTGCTGGGTTCCACCCTCCTGTCCCCTGAGTCCAGTCCCCTTGGTCTTGTCCCTGATCTCCCTGCCCGCCTGTGTCAGTGCACCACCCTTGGTCCTGCCTCCCCGCACCCCAGGCCGGTGCCCATGCGGTGCCCAGAGATGTGCCCACTGCTCGTGGGAGTGAACCCGAGACTGGGTGAGCTTGGGCAGCTTTCCCTGAGCCCCGCTGCCACCTCTCAGCCCCTGTGAACGGCAGGCCCGCCCTCCCTCCAGCAGGGGCAGACTGACACCCAGAGGCGCTCAGACTTGTCTGTGAGTCACACGCGGACCGCGGCCAGGGCTCCATCGTTTCTGGCCTGGAGGCTGTGTGTTTTTCCCTGTGCCGGTCACCTAGATGACTCGGAGTCGGCGTTCTGTGCCGTGTCTTCTTTTCCTGAGATTCAAAGGATAGGAGTACTTCCCTTGGCCGCCTGACCCTACAGGACAGGAGGGCGGGCAGGGCCTGTCCACCTGGGCTGGTGCTGGGAGCCTGTGCGGCCAGCTGGGAGGAACGGGTTAAAGGAGGGGACCGGCTGGCTCCCGAGCCAGAGTGGAGAGGCTTCCAGCCGAGCTATAAAAAGGCCTCACGGTGTTTGAGCGAGTCGCTGGCGGCCCGCCAGGTTTCCATGGCGATGAGGAATTATCCCGGGTGCCAGGGCTGGAGGACGCTCCTACCCTGGCTTCCGACCCAGCGGAGATCACTTATGTAATTCTGTGCTGCAGGCCCGGCGGCGGGAGGCGAGGCCAGCGCAAGGCCCGTCGTCTGGGTCCTGGCCGTGGGGTCAGGGTCCCCGCGGCTTGTCCCTGAGGGTCTCTGCTGCTCCGGTGTCGGGGAGCAGCGTGCAGGAGCCTGGGGGTCCGCCTGGCCCCTGGCCCCTGCAGGGCCGTCGGCTGGGGTGGGAGCCCAAGTCTCGCGGGAAGGGAGCGGTCGCCCGGGCCTGGCGGCAGCCCTGCAGGAAGGATGGGCCTGCGGCTGGCCGCTGGGAGTCTGCTGGAGGCCTGTGGCCGCCCCTGTGCGTGCACCACGCTGCCCCCCGGCTGGCACGGCCGCCCCCCGCCCGCTGCCCTGTGAGCGGGGCTCCTGCCAGCGGAGCTCCCAGCCGCCAGCAAGACCGGTCATGTGGTCGGTAAGAGGAGTGGCTGGGCCCCAGGTTCAGGGAGGGCGGCCACAGGCTGGGGGGCCATAGCCCATGGGCCGTGGGCTGGGGGTGCCACTCAGGGTCTCTGGAGTCAAGTGGATGGAGCCCCAGCCCTGTCGCCAGGCTCAGGGGCCACCTGGGCAGCGTTCAGCCAGCTGGGAAGATGTGGTCAGGCCCCACGCTTGCGGGACGGTGGACCAGGCTGTCTTATTGGATAGAGTTGCTCAAGTCTAGGGAGCGCGTGGCAAGCTCCCCTGGGAGTGGACGCACGGTGACCGCACGCCCCCACTGGACCTCGGTGCGCCCCCACTGGACCTCGGTGCACCCTGGCATTGTCCATAGTGTGGTGTGCCTGGCTGGGGTCCGCTGGGGTCCTGGGGGCCTGGGACAGGCTTGTGCCTGGCGCGGCCTGGTGTGGCCATGCTGCCTGGCCTCGGTGCCCGGCTCCCCACTGAGGTGGCGCTTGGCTTGGTGCCTGTGTCTGGTTTGAAATCAGTGCCACCGGCCCGGGCTTGCCCAGGACCTTGGCAGCGGGGTAAACACTGGAGAGTGGGGCGGGCCCCGCACAGGGC